CTCTGTAACAAGATCCCCAGAAATGTACTGAGATCCTTAAGTAGATTAAATTAAAGGTTTTTACCATGTAACTGTTTTCTAAGTCACTGGTAAGACATCTTTCTTTACCTCATGCTTAAAAGTACGCAGCTTTCATAATAAAAGCTGCCAGCAGCAAGACATTTCGCGGACAGAAAAAATCAGATGTATAAAACCATGCATACATGTGTAACCATATAATCTACCTCCATTCATCCTAATTTCCATGAAACTGACTGCTGCCTGATGTTTTCCCCCCACCCTCACACACATACCCACCCCTACGTCTACCTACATATGTTAATCAGTGTAAATACCCGCAAGGCATCTACCACATGTCCTAATAACCATGGCAATGGAACAGTTAGACTGTCACAGTAAGACTTTCGCCATATCTATATGCATATAAATACATATACTTATTGTTTTTCTGATCATTAGCGCATAGACCAATGCAAGACAAGTTTTATACATAAACCCCCTAATCTTGAATTTAAAGTTTTCAAATAGTCATTTCAGTTAATATGCAACTTAAATACCCTGAGAAGGATTTTTATTTATCTTTTTTATTCTTGATTTGTTTTTGTTTTTTTAAGATGCATTTATTTGTCAAAATAATTGTTAGTGGAGCTGAAGTTAAAGTTTCACTGCTGATGCTTTTGCAGTTACAGATTTCTTTGACTGGGACTTCTATTCTATCAGATTCTATTGTATTCTATTTTAAGGTACCTAATCCATGTGTTATTTAAATGAAACAAAATTTTCGATAACATTATAGTTCTTTAGAGCTGCACTGTATGCAATAACATACATACAAGAAGATGCTTTCCTTGCTGGCTGGCAAGAAGTGCAGAACAAGATCAGCCAATGGTGAATGTGCTGCTTACGGGCCAGGAGGTGTCAAACCTTTAACACTTTATCACCACGAGGTTATGTTTTTAGGCGAGTTTCTGTGTGCGGGATACCTTGAAAAGTTATGAACGGATGTCGAGGAATCTTTTACTAAAGGTGCACCTCATGCCAAGGAACAACCCGTTAAATGTTGGTGATGATCCACATCATAATCCGGATGCAGGAATTTTGGAACAAGCAGTTCCCCCTTAAACCAGAGCGGCAGCAGTGACTATTGTCAGCTTCAGTGTTTGACTCAAGAAAGTCCAGAATTATTATACTGAAGACAAAAACACAGGAAAGGTGAGCCATGCTTTGCTTGAAGTCTTGATCTGCTGACATAATAAGAAAGCAGAGTGAATGAAGAAGGTGAGAGCAGAACATTTGGTAATGATCCAGATCATGTATGAGTTTTAGGTTTAGGCATAAGTCACAATATGGGGCAACATTTGCTGCTTGGCAGATGTCTGCACTCTTCGAGTGCTTTTCTAGTGTATAGTAGATATGCAGTTTTTTTTGTACATATTGAAAATATAATTAGCAGGCTGACCTGTGCATGAAATATTGCTAAAATAATTTTCTATTCAAATTAAGAACATTACCAATGTTGACTTTATACAGGAGTACAGAACTAATAGTGAGTACTGTAAAGTATAATACTTCAGTATCTCAGTAAATAACAATCAAATTGTCCTTTCAGAAAAAAACAACAACAATGTTTTATTTATTTCATCTTAGATATAGAAATTCTGTTTAGTTGGTTGCCCATGAAGGAGGCTTATAGTTTTTTTCCATGTGTTATATTTTCTGGGCCCTAAATGTTCATTCTGTTCTGAATACCTCTCTAAAATTTTATTATGTTCTCATATAATAGTAAATATCCTTGATTCTTAAACTGGATGGAAACCAATAGTGCTGATATTAGTTGAAAAGAGATTTTTCTATCACAACATTTTATTAAAGCAGGTAAAGCCTCAGCGAGATTAAAAATCACTTTCACATCTGTGAAAAATAATCCTTTGTTTGGTGTAAGACATTTCAGTTTTAACACTCTGCTGTCTTTAAATCACACTTATAATCTGAGTCAGTTGTGATCTTATCAGAGTCTGAGTCAGTAAACTTAAAGGTGAATCCAAGTGACATAGCTTGAGTTCATGTCTTTGTTTTGGACTTGTTTTTTTTTTTTTCACAGTATCAGTGTGTTAAGGGTGTAGTAGGATGTAACATTGCTTCATAATTTAAATGTGTTTTTTTTTTTTAAATCAGTAGATTATAGCTTATGTCCCCACTAAATTAAAAATAAAAGATGATCTTTACTGCTTTGCCTCTTTTAGTTAGCATTAAGGTTATAACTGTTGAGCTGAGAAAAATCTACATGTATAAAAAAAAAAAACAAACAAAAAAAAAAAAAAAAAAAACAGAGCATAAAGGAGGGCATGTCAGTTGATCTTGCTAATGGGCAGGAATCTGACATCATGGCAGGTTTTTAGCATGGCAGTGAGTCCCTGACAGATTTGACTCAGACTGGAAACACTGAGCAGAAAAGGTTAACTCTTCAGTAGACTAGACAGGCCCATCCTTTAATGATTCCTTTCTTTGAAATCCAGAGGTGGAATTTCACCAGCAGCTTGTACTATGATTCATCTTTTTATACTTCCTTCATCTTACAACATGTAAAGCTAGAATAAAGTTTGTGTATCAATGTGTTTGCATGCTTCATTAGTAAATTCTACAATAATCTTTTTGGGATGAAAACATGATAGATGTGCAGAGTGAAGTTAATCAGCCACCTGCAGGAATAACAAATCAAAACTTGCTTCACAATATGAATTAATAGAAAACATAATAGGACCCACTGCTGCGTCCTGCTTGATGCTTTTTTGCTGTGATTTGGATTTGAGGATGTTAAGCTAATGGCAGGAATTTAATAGTTCAGAAAAGCTGCTGATTTTGCTACTTTTTTTTCACTTTCTTTAGAGATCCTTTGTTTTTGATTATGTTTGGGAGTTACTAGATACCCAGATGGACAAAGGTTTTTGCTTTTGTCTCCTTTTTGAATATATGCAATTTATAAATGAAAACAATAGCAGCTCTTAATCATGTGGCTTTATGGTGACTCTTATATGTGTGTAAAGCTGTCACTCATTGAAACACAGCATAATTTATTAGAAAGATTAAAAACACAACAGCCACTATTGTTAATCTATTATCAACAGCCTGTTGTTTTACACAATTAAGTCAAAGTTAAGCACAGAGTTAAGCTCCAGTCCCTTTCCTTTGCAGGTGCGTTGCTAAACTGCAGGATGCCAGCGGTAGTTGAAGTACATGAATTAAATAGACTTGAACTGAACTCAGCTCTTTGTTTACGTGGAACTGGAAACAATAGTTACTCAATTAAGCAATGACCTGAGCGTTGGTTGACCACTCGAAAAGGTCAGGCCTTACGGGTGGAGGGGAGAGCTGTCTTTGTGTGTGTGTGCGATGGCAGGAGGGGGCGGGGTGGGATTGGTCCGACCGTTTTCGGGGGTCAATGTTTTACCCATTTACTCACAATACACAATCATTTGTCACATGTCAAATTCTCTGTCTTCGGTTAATTAAATCCCTCCCCCTGTCTGTATATCGAAATGTGTGATATCAAATCTGATGATAAATGTATGTTTGTTTATAAACTCATCTAAGGTACAACTATTTACTGCTCTGTTTTCCAGTAAAGTAAGGCAATGTTACTCACCAAGTTTTCCACATAAGCTGGAATGCAGGGGTGATACTAGGATCAGAGGTTTAGGGGTCAGGACATGAATGATAAATATTATCAGTGATTTCTAAATACATTTTCTACATTTTTGAAACTTGCTGAGTGTCTTTTGGCACTTACTGACTCCATCATTCTTTAATACAGCAGATCTGAACATTTTGATCAAATATCCGACAACCAAATCAGAGACCGGCATTATTTGGAGAAGGATGTACCGACCATTTAAAGCAGTTTTCATGAAATGCTCTTTTTAGTGTGCCCAACTGAGTGGAATCTAGAACAGTTCTGTTTAGGATCTGTAGTCTTATCCCCTAAATAAAAAAAAATGATTTTGAGATCCTATGGCTTGTTGGCTGGTCTGCTGCTCTCTCTGTAGATCTCTCTTGTATAGTGAAATAGCTGACAGAGCAGCCCACTTAGATCAGTAATTATTAATTGTAAAAAAAAAATGTATAAACTCTTTGCATTTAAGTTGGAAAAAAAATGTTTTTGTCTGTTAATATTCTCTACCCAGAACTCCTCAAGTGGAAACATTTTAGATTCATGTTTTAATTTTGTACAAAAAATCTGTTTGAAGGAACCTTTGACTATCTGATTATTATTAGATTAATCGAAACAATAATTGATTGTTTTGAAAAATACTCATTAGTTGCAGCCCTAATTTACATGAAATTTCTTAATATATTCTGTTGCTCCAATACTTAAACTTACACTAAATCTTACATGACGCCAGAGGGCAGCAGAGCGTCAATTTAAAAATCAAATCTAAGCGCGACAGTTTGAGATTCCTTTCTTGTAAAGAGTAAAGTATTCTTCATATCTAAACAGCTTATGCCGTTCCAAGTATTTACTCGCTTTACTTCATGCATGGTTGAAATGTCTTTATCTAATAAAAACTATAAAAAGGAGAAAATATACAGTGTCTTACATTGCACTGTTTTTAGATCTTATGCTGACAGCTGAACAAAGAAGTATAGAAGCCCCCAACTAATGATCTATATGAATACAACTTAAAACCTGCAGACTTAAGAGTAAAAAGAGACAAATGTCTTTTTAAACCTCAAACCCGTTGCAGAGATCATGAAGTTTACTTCACTAATAAAACATGCAGGTTTTAGGAACCTTTTTTTTTTCCTTTTTTGCATGATCTCCAACAACTCAAATGCTGTGTTGCTTTAACTTTTCAGAGCCCTGCCTGGGAGGGAGGGGTGTTTTTGGGGGCTGATCTTGCGCATTAAACATCTCTGTTATTTGAGGCGCTCCAGGGATTTAGTGCGCATGCGCAGTGCGCTCCTTCCAGCAGCGCTGGAAACCACTGCTACAGCATAGGAGTCATACCAAGCATAGCCTGCGTGTCAGTGCAGTAGACCTACAGCTGGCTGTGAGGACGACTGACGCTACTTTTTCGCTTGTTTTTGTCGTTCTTTGTCTTTGCTATAGCTTGACACACATTTAGAGGGGAGAAAGAAAACACATTGAAACCAGTTAAAACAACAGCGAGGCCACTTTTTTTTGTTTTGTTTTGCTAACGGGTTTTAAAAGAGACATAAAGTTTGAGGCTGGGCCTTTTAGCTTTTTGACCGTAGCTTGGAAGGAGAATTCAGGGAGAAGAAGCTGGTCTTTATTTTTTTTATTTTTTTGTTTTAATGAAAGCTCGATAAATGCATCTAACGAAGATGGACCTGTTGAACTACCAGTACCTGGACAAAATGAACAACAACATCGGTATCCTCTGCTATGAAGGTAAATATGGCGTTTTTAACTACTGTTTGTGGAAGTTCTAAAACTGGTCCTTTACTTACAAACTGTTATTTTTGACCCAAATAATACATTTCTGAAATTTTACAAATCACGTGAAAACAGTTTTTTTTTTCATTATTATTATTCTATGTCCCCTATTCTAGGGTCGGTATCTAGTTTTCACATTTAAAGAAATATATATTTTAAACCAAAAGTTAACCTCTATCCGCTGTTTGCTATTTCTGTGCTGAATGATGCTAGGTGGTAATGCTGGTGAGATGAAGCCTCGTGAGGCATTAAATAGTTTGGCCAAATTGCTTCAATGATCCCCACAGTTCATGAGGCTCCATGAGAACATGTCACCACCTACTGGTGGAATGCAGAACTACAGTTTGTAATAAAATCTGATTTTTTTTTTTTTTTGCAATTGTTTTTCTTTTTTCCCCCTTTTAAGTTCCTTTTGAATTTGTTAATAGTTGGTGTCTATAATAAAATCTTTTGTAAGTTTTTTTTAAGTGTAAAATTTCTTAGAACAATCCATTAAGGTGCACAGTTTTTCTGAAATTTTAGTGAAATAAGCTCAAGCAGATAGTGAAAGTGTTTGTGCAAATAGTTTTTTCCACATTTTTTGGTTTTAATCAGGTTGGAAGTTGTGTTCAACCAATCTTTTTGCTAAACCAATCTAATTTGGCAGCGTTGTTAACAAATCTGTATTTTTACTAGGGCAAACCAATGCAAATTAGTCTCATTAATCAAAATAATTAAATATAATCGCAACTTTCAAAAGTTTCTGGACTGGGGCTGCCTTTTACAGCTGCTCTTTGTATCTCTGCTTCTGTCTCCTTGAACCCCAGTCGGCTTTGGCAGATGACCACTCACATCAAGCATGGTTCTCCTGGAGGTTTCTTCCTGTTAAAAGGGAGTTATTCCTCTCCACTGTCGCTCCAAGCATGCTTAGTGTGAAGGGTTGCATTCAAGTCAATGAGTCGATGCAACCAACTGGTTTTCGCTAGATAGAAAACTTTGAATCAATATGACTGTATGATCTGGTAAACTGTTAAGTGCCGGGAGATGACATGTGTTGCGAATTGGTGCTATATGAATAAACTCAATTGAATTGAATTCCAAAGTCAAAGGAAGGTCTTGAACCATCAACCTCGGGAGAGGGAGTCTGTGTCTTAAAGATGATGCTGCTTAAGTGATTAACTGTTTAATGGAGAAAATACTACTTAACACTAATGTTACAACTGTGTCTGGTGGCTTGCTCAGATTTTGATCTTTACATTGTTTATTCTAACCAAAATAGTTGGAAATAACTAGATTGGTTGTTTTTCCCAACGATCTCTTCCTAGAATGTATCCAAACTCTATTCAGATGACAGCAACTCTCCAACAAACTCCCACATCTTGACTGAATACTGAGGCTGTTTAAATGCCTGTCAAAATTCTTGCTTTCTGAACCACTTGCCAAAGCGGTCATGTGGTACTATGGTAGCGAAGCCTCAGACGTCATACATTTTGGCCCCTCCCATAAATGAATCACGCCTCGAACGCACTTCAGGGAAACGCCCCCTCCATTACTCGACACATGCCTCGAAGCCTCGGCTCATCTCCTAACATCACTATTAGGTGGAATAACAATTTTTGATATGTTTGATAATCTTACTGTAGTTTCATCTTTGGGCTTTGTGGTTTTATTTGTGCATCTTAGCTAAATATGTGTTGAGGATTTTATTGTTTTTCAGCTTTTGTAATCTTTCTGGAAATATTTAATTTCTTTATGGAATAGAGCTCAGTGGTTGTTGCATTATGTTGGTAAAAAAAAAAAAATAAATAAATAAAAAGAACATAGCTGTTTGTTTGGTAAATGACATTACTGCCTGATAAAGCTCTTCATTTCCAGATGCTGGATTACCATTTTTCAGGGCCCCGGGCTCCAAAAACTCATAGGCACCGAGTCCAATCACTTTTATTCAGGAATTCAGATTTACTCCCCTGTACAGATAATGTCAAGTGATGTCACTTGAAATATAAAAGGCAATAACCATCGTTAACACTGCCCACAATGGCCTGCTCACCATATCAGATACATTTACTTGGTTAGACCTAAATCACAGAGTAATGCAATAAAAAATATGTAAACATACATCAGATGTCTCAGTTTTATAATGTTTAACCTGAAAGTAAGTAATAAATATTGGACGTGACTGATACGTGTTCAATTAAGTTTTGCTTAGGGGAAAAAAGGTAAATAATGCCAGTGCCTTTTTGTTATAATAAGTTGTTGAGCAATGGAAGTTGACAGTATCGCAACTATTGCTGGGCTAATAAAATAAATTATGTCTGATAAAATTTTCAATCATTCCACTGATCCATATCCACGTGGTATCACTGATAGAGGCAGAGAAAAAAATTTTGCATCACAATCTCTCACAGCCAAACTAAGTATGGTTTGGAGTAGAACTGACTTATTTTAAAAAGAAAAGTTTATATTTAAATAGGGTTAGGTTTACTGTTTAAATTTAGGCTTCTACCACCCGAGTCCCTATTGCAAATAGGTCAACAAAACACAACATAATAATTGCCTATAGACTGATCTAAAGGCTTGATAGCTTAATACATTTTTCAGCCATATGGTACAGCTGTATTTGTGACCACATCATACAAAGACGAGGGAAGATTAATAACAGCACATAACTATTAGGGGTCTTTAATGGAGCAGGCAGGGACTGCTGCTGCTGCTGCTGTGGAGAATCCGTATGGATGTGTAGTGGGAGCCAGGGCACACACTGCAGACACTTTGAAAACTATCAGATATTGAGGCCTGTCCAACTAAGAGCCATGTATGAAAGTGGCTCTTACTGATTTCTTTTTTGGTGTAAATAATGAAATTGGGCCGTTAGGACTGCTGTTCAAAGACTGGAGATAAGTAACTTGTGGGTTAAAACTTATGGGCCACATGTGTATGAACGTAGCCTATGAATCATACGTCAACACCTTTTCCTAGAGGATAGAAATCACTGCTCTTAGAGTATAAAATGGTCCATAGCAGAGAGTCCATTCTCTGCATTAAAACCTGGTCCAAAATGATAAACTTAAAATGTTCTGACATTATGAAAGAGTAAGATGTCAACCACCCAGGAAAATGTGTTGAGGTTTTTAATGGGACTCAAAGGACTCTGTATTGGCAAGAGAAAGGCAGATATAGTGGCTTTTCTGGGCAAAACTTCACTCATTATGTGCTTGGATACAATGTTCTCTTTTGCGTATTTGCTGCACACTGAGCAGTTCATTAGCTTAGCATCATCGTCATAAATAAGCCAGTCTCCTCCTTCCCGTTGGCATGTTGTCTTTTAGAAGGCTTCGTTTTTCCAGCTATATACCGCTACAGATTGCAGAGCGGTGGAGTCGCAGTTAGATGACGGCATGTTGGGGATGTGCTCTCTGTATTTTAATTTTTCAATATGTTGGTCTATTGGCGTGTGAGGAACAGAATCAGAGGAACAAAGGTACAGAGCAGATACTTACCAAAATAAACAATAAAATGACTTAACTGTAGTGCAACTGTGGTTTTCTGGCTTTAACTCACCAAATGAAAAATGAAGTCTCATTTGTTAGTTTCGGACCCTGGCTACAGTACAATAGAGGACTGAGCTCAGGAGTAGTGGCTTTCAGGAGTTGTTCTTTCATGACCTCTCCTTTAGTCCCTGACCAAACATTAAACCATTCCCATATCTCTGACTATTGAATACTAGCAATAGTCCGCTAGGTGGTCTGTGAAAACTAGCTCAACATCCTCATGTGTACCCTTTGTAGGACATATATTATTACTCTGCCATCCTACCATTTTTTTATACTGGAAACAAATACAGAAAAGCAGATGCTGTAATAGTCTTAACAAATGACTGATGGGGGGAGGGGCAGTGGAGTTTATTTATTTGTTTTATTTATCAACGATCAACAACAATAATAATCACAGGAGCCAGTAAAACCCAGTGTCAGACATATTGTTCAGAAAACAAGGCTCTAAACTGCTATAATTAAATTTCACATGGTGAGTTATATCAAGTCTACAGCAAACTTTTTGTTATCCATTTCAAGTGGTGCCCTGAGCATTTGCCCACATTGCCCTGATGGCAAATCCCAGCTAAATCACTTCAGTCATAAGACAACTTCTCTGCGGCTAATTATGAAAAAGATTTCTCAAGCTGTGCCCCCTGGCCTCTATTGCACCATGGAAGATAAAATCTCAAGACAACAAAATGACCAGAAGTGTTACTTTAGATTTTAAATATCATCTACTTATCATCTCCTTTTCTCTTTATGAAAATACTAGGACCATGTCCAAGGAATCTAAACTAAAAAATCTAAACATAAGGCACTTTATTAAAATTGTAAATTTTTATGAGATGGATAAGGAATGCAGCAATATATGCTATTAGTTTAAAACTAAAAGATTAGAATATTTGCAACAAAAAGTATACTTGTATGGAGCTTGTATTTTGGACATTTGCAGCTCATCAAGTTAACAAAGGTGGCAGTTCAGACGTTTTTGTGTATCAAATAAGGTCCCTTTTTATATGGTTTGGAAGATTTTTTTTTCTGAAAACATAATTTTGGCTGACTATAATAAAATCAATGTGTCCCCTGAGAAAAAGTTACATCTGGGAAAGAGCTCATGGTAAATACAATGAAAGAAAAGCCCCTGAGTTCAAACATGTTGAGCCAAAGAGAGTTGGAAGAGCTGTGTGATGGTGTGGGTGTCCTGGCTTGTTATTGTATGCATGAGCACACCTACTCAAACACACTTCCTGGCAAACACGCATACATGCTCATACTAGTGCTTTGTCTATAGAGCCTCAGGTCTTTTCTGAAGCCCTCACGTTGCTGTCATTATCAACACTTATTTGAAATCTTAAGCATTACTGTGTTTATTTAAAACATGGAGTAATGTAATTTGAGAAGTGGGCGCCTTGATGTTTTAATCTAATGAAATTTTTGCAA